CTTGTTACGAACACTGACTCCCCTTCTCTTGTAAGCAGGTATTTCACTGCCAGGATAGGTTTGTCCTGAAGACTACCAGTGGTTCATGGTCATGTCTTGGTCAGTGCCTGGGTGTCAGTGATTCTAACATTTCTTAAGTGCCCTTTTCATCACAGTGTATCTGTTTAAGGAATATGTTCAAAAAAAGGCCAGCAGGTACCTCTGTGCCACAGTTCTATTGGGTCATCCTCTTGATTATTTGCAGGTTTGCAGTCTCTTCAGAGCCTCAGCAGAAGTCTGTGCTCTGTGCTTTGAAGAAATGGATGGTAGGCAGCGTGAAGCAGGGTTAGGTTTTTTAACTGTCTCGCAGGGTTTCATAGGCATTAGTGAGACAAGCACTGAAATACAGAAGTTGAATTATGGCATGGAGAAATAAGAAATGTAACTGCATTCAGTATCATAGTGAAAAGCCTTCTTTTCAATGGCTTCTTCCATGACTACAAGACTGATTATGCAGGAAAACATTAAAGCATTGACCCGTTAAGAAAATGCGTGTTTAAACCTCATACCGCAGAGCAAATGCAAGACTGCTGCCTACATCTAGGGGGGGTGTAGATACAGTTGGCTCGCTGCGGTGCAGCGCATTTCTTCAATGCTGTGATATTGGATAGTGTACGTTATGTCCACATCTAGCATTGGAACCTGCTGCAAGCCATATGACTGACATATGCTGCAAGCCGTATGACATATCCTGCAAGCCATATGACAAGTCACACCCCTTGAAATTCCCTAAGCAGGGGGTCTGTGTAGCCTGCACAGGCAAAGGCTTTGCTGAGTTGTATTGGGGTGGTGCCTGCAGGGGTGGCTTCGGTGAGAAGCTGCCAGGAGCTTCCCCCGTGTGCAGTGTAGTCAATGCCAGCTGGCTCCAAGACAGACCCGCCAAGGCCAAGCCCATCAGCAACAGCGGTAGCGCCTCTGGGATAATGTATGTAAGAAGGGGAAAAAGAAAATCCTGGCCCCTTCCGTAACCTTCGAGTTTGCTGGCAGGACTTGTGACCCTATGGGGGCCCCATGCTAGAAGCAGAGTGTTCCTGAAGGACTGCCCCCCATGGAAGGGGCTGATGCTGGAGCCATTCCTGAAGAACTGCCACCTCTGGGGAGGATTCACATTGGACTGTGTGCCCTGGGAGGGAGCCCACGCTGGAGCAGGGGAAGAGCGTGAGGAGTCCTCCCCTGAGGGATCTTTCCTTTCGGGACAAAGATGTGGAATGGGAAGAACCCAACCGTTTTCTGGTTGTTTTTACATTTTTAAACTATGCACTTAAAATTATGTAGCTTTATGTAGAAGCTTTCTGTAAATGGCCTCTAAAATTGTAATTTACTATTTGCTATAAATGGGGTATAAACTGTTCCCTGGTTATCTGCCCAGTGCTTTGATGGGAGTTGTGCCCTGAACCAGAAAATGAGGAGTGTAACCTTGCTTCAGTGTTGGTTTAAATCTGCTTTCGAGTGAGTCTACAAACCGCCACCAGAGGCTTTATTTTCCCCAAGTTTCTTAGCCTGCAATTTCAAGCATGGGCAGTTGCAACTTCAGCAGCAGCAGCAGCAGCCGCCTCGGCTTTCCATTCGCTACACCTGCGTAGCCACGTGCGTCCTGTACTTGCTTTTGAAAACGCTAAAAGCCACGCGAGCCTCTTTTCCTCTACAAAAGCAAGCAAACGTTGCACACCCATACGCACACGCGCAAGCCGCTGGGAGGGATGCGGCAGCGGGCAGGGAGCCGCCGCTCGCAGCGCTACGCCCGCGGTCCACAGAGCGCCGGCTGCAAGCGGCCAGGCTGAAGAGACTCGTGCGCGGCGGCGGCGGCAGTGCCCGCCCACCCGCCCGCTCCTGTCCAATCGCGCCGCTCTGCTGCGCTGACTGACAGAACCGCCTGCCCAATTTAGGAGGTTGGGTCGTACCATGACAGCGCTGCTAAAAAGGGTGGTGGGCGCACCACAGTGCGGGTACTCGTGGGGGCAGTGAGCTGCTGCCAGACCCGCTCCCCATAAAGCGACAGAGGACTAAAAGAGCAGCGGGCCGCGGTTGATGTTGGCACGCTGCGAGCCAGATCTTGGTTTTTCACAGAGGGCCGTGTGGTCAGGTCCGGTCCCCCCCGTGAGTTCCCCCCTCCCAGCTGAAAGTGCCGAGGCCCGCATCGTCCTCCTCGTCGCCGGCCGGGCATGACTGGCGCCGGAGGAGGGCGCGGCTGCCCGGATGTCTGTCAAGATGAGTGTGAGGCAGGCCGGGCTCGGGGCGCCGGGCTGCGGGGAGCGAGGGCTGCGGTGCGGTGGCCGCTTGGAGCCGCACGCTGACGGGCGTCCGGAGGAGGGCGACGCGGCACCGCCACATGGACGAGGAGGCGTTGGCAGCCGGGTAGAGCCTGGGTAGCTGGGGAGAGAACTCATGGAGAGAAGACACTTGGGGCGTTAAACTTGGCGACGGCTGCCCAGTCGAGGTAGGGCGTTAAAGAGCTTGTGTCGCTGTTGGTGTGGTAATGATGCCTTCGCTCCTTGCCGGGCAGAGTTTGCTGTTGGTGCGGTGTGTGTGGAGAGGCGTCCTGGCTGGATTCCGTTGATGTGTTTCGCTCACTGAGGCGCCGCTGCCTCAGCTCAGCATAAAGCTGCTTTTAGCTGGATACCCAGAGTCCTAATTCTCGCTGTCAAACCCCTCCCCAGCAAGTTAACAACACTGGGAAACTGATTTTCTCCTCCCCTGGGGACTTGTCCGTATCTCTTTTGGTGGTTTTCTCTTGTAGCCAGCCCAGCCTAAACAGGTTTCTGTGGTTGCCCGCAGCGCTGTTTGAAGGGGTGGTAAATGGTTTCTGTTCGATTGGGTTGGAGAACTGGCAGTGTAAATGGGAGGTTGCGTCTGCCTGTGTGCAGGTCTGCTGGATAGGTGGGAAATGGTTGTAGAGAAGAGTACGGAAACGAAGGGTCCGATGTCGTTGCTGTCAGGCAGTAGAATTCAAGCGAATGCAGCAGTGGCGGTTAAATCGTTTTCGGGTGACTGTGTTCTGGCTGCTGGGGGGCGGGGGGCATCCTGTCTAAAGTCAACTTCACCCTCGGCATGGGGGAGGCAGCTTTTCTGAAGTCACGGTGTTTGATGACGCAGTGCTGTTTAAGGTACCCGTTAAATGCCTTGTTATCTTTTAGGATGCTTTAACGAGCATGTCAGAAATGCCAAGGGGAGAAACTCCTCTCGTTGCTCTTTAGCCCCCCCCCCCCACCCTGCTCCCCTGTGCTTCAGGCGAGGGATGATTACAAGGAATTAAAACTGGTGGTATATCCTGCACAGAAGTTTGGCGCTCCGCAGTGTGTTTTCACTGTGGTGCTTTTCGACAGGCTTGAAGCCAAGAGGTGGCTTTACGTTGCAGACTGCAAGATGACAGAGCCCTGAGCTTTGGGGAAGCAGGACGGGAAGGTTGGCTGCTTCGTTAACAGCTGACCTCTTCTCTAGCTCTGACTACCTGCTCTCTCTGCATGTGGGGAGACTGGGAGCACTTCAAGTGGCAAAGGCTTAAGTTTGCGGCATCCTTTCCCTTTCCTTTGTATGATGACTTACTGGCATGATTTACTGGCCTGCTGTATCAGCCCGTTGCTTTAATAGGCTGCGTGCTAAGAGGGGCTACAGCATAAGTGTTAGTGCCACTGGCTGGCTGTGAAGCTTGGCTTGGCTCCAAGGCTAGGGACACGCTTGATGTCTTGGAGGTCACACAGCCGTTTTCTTGGGTGGCAGGAGGGCACATGGGAGCAGGGCCTAGCAGGAAGCTTGCCATCAGACAGCAGTTTTCCATAGCTCACATTGTGTCAGGAAGCCACTTCTGCAGGAATTGGACCTCTTGATTAACTGTTTCAGGAAAGCCAGGCCTCTAGCTTGACCTTCAGTAGGGGATCATCGGTGTGGTCTTTGAGAAAATGTCAGTGGTGGGGAAGGCAAAGCTCTTCCCTTCCAAACTGGGACGCTCGAGAAGTTGAGTGTACTAAGAAGAATATAGGAATTGCATGTATGCAGTAGACTGTGCGGTAGGGTAGAAAGAGGAGGGAAGAGAGAAAAATAATGCATCCACATAGTGTGCCTGTGAGTAGAGTAGAAGCAGGAGAGGAGGCCAATGCCTGCATCCACATACTGTGCCTCCGTGCTGCTGCTTGACAAATGTCCATTAATAGTCCCAGATTTTGCAGGAGTATTTCACAGAGATGGTGTAGTTTAAAGTATCTGGCTTTCCGTGAATTTATTCTGCTGCGCATGTGACGCAGCTTTATTGCTGTTTTGATGTGGGGCTGGCGGAATTGAGTGTATGCGTATGTGGTTGAGGAGGAACAGGGGGATTTGACCTGGTGCTTTCCAGATTTCTGAGACCACCACTTTAAATACATTTGCACGATTGCTTTAAATGGAACTGCATGGTTTGGCAGGTAAGCAAGCAGCTTTCTGACTGCCAATTTAAAGTAAAGACTAAGTTTTCAAGCCTCTTTATAAAGCTGGCAAAGTTCAGTCTCTGAAAGTGGCAACACCTTCAAAATAGTAGATTCTTTTTTACCCTCAGGTGAAGAGTTAGACAGAATCACAGAACCGTGAGGGTTGGAAGGGACCTCTGGAGATCATACAGCCCACCCGCCCTGGCAAGGCGGGGCCACCTAGAGCAGATGACACAGGAAGGTGCCCAGGCAGGTTTGGAATGTCTCCAGAGAGGGGGCCACCACTACTCTCCTGGGCAGCTTGTTCCAGTGCTCTGCCACCCTTGATGTAAAGAAGTTCTTCCTCACGTTGGGGTGAAGCTTCTTGACTTTTAGTTTGTGGCCATTGGTCCTCATCCTGCCGTTGAGCACCACTGAAAAGAGTCTGGAACCAGTGTTTGACGATTCAATGGACGGATAGTTTTTCCCTTCCCACCTTTCTTGATGTATGGTATCAAGAGTAGAAAGCCCTGAGAAGGATGCTTGCTGTACCTTGTATGTATTATAGCACCATGCGGTGACATGACGTAACTGATTTGCCAACTGTAAGCATCCTGTTCAAAATGACTTTCATGCTGGACATGCACTGTTGTCTGAGAAGCACAGTAGGTACTCGTTGGTAACAGTGGTGTAAAGCGTTAACCATCCTTTCTTTCTCTCTTTCCTAAAGCTTATGCAATGAGGACAGAAACCTGCTGCATGCTAGAGAGAGAGAGAGACGAATTGGGGAGGCTCAGCAGGAGAAAAACAAGCTCCCTGAGAAGCCTCCCGTCTTTGCAGCACCCTACAAGGTAATGATGGGGGGGGGGTGTGGGGTGTGGGGGTGTGTGTGTGGTGGAGGGAGAGGAGGAAAGATGGTTGGAGCGTAAGAGCAGAGCTGTGGCTTCTGCATATGGTGTAGCAGAGTTGAGTGTGACACGTGCAGAACCAGCATCTTCCCATCTGCTTAACTTAAGCTCATCAGAGTATGGGTTTAAAGCTCTGAAGATGGTGCAAGCACAGTAAGGTCTTTGGGCTGGGCAGATTCATTTGGAGGCTACTTCCTGTAGTTTGGGCATTTGAGGGAGAGCACCCAAGAGCAGCTTGGCTGCCTCTCTGTGTGCAGCTGTGATAGAAACAAACGGGTCTGCTGTTAGTGTTCCTGAAGACTGCAGGCACACCTACAAGTTTGGCTCAGAAGAACTAAGAGTGAGCAGAGCAGTCCCACTTGCTTTGGAGGGACTGCACTGCAGGATCAAGATGAGCTTGCCTAACTTTGCTTGTGGTGATACACGGTGATGCAATTAAGATCCTGACGAATCTCTCTTACAGAGCTGAGTCTCCTGAAGTTGAGGGTCCGTGCTTTTTCCATTTCTGCCTCTGTTCTTCTGTTGCAGACTCATAAAGGAGATGACTTGTCAAACCAAATTCGGAACGTGCTGGGCAATTATGAGGATGTCATGGGGCTCATCAACTCCAAAACCCAATGGAATTTCTTAGGGCTTCAGGAAGTCCTTCCTCCGGTCTCACCTGAAGCACCTCATTTCCCACACTCCCTTGATGAAAATACCAGCCCTACATCATCACCTTCATTCCACGACACAGCCCACCATCCACCCACTACGGCTGTAAGTGCTCCTCCTGCTCACCGCTCAAGTCCCTGCGAAAAGGCACAATCAAGGACAAAACCGCATTCAGGTTTGCACGTGCAGAGCGGCAGCTCATCCAACGGTCAGAGCCAAAGTCGCAAACGCAGTTGTGGTGACAAGGAAAGTCACGAAGGTCTTCATCGCAAGGGAAGTGACAGGCGTGCGGCTGGTGAAGGTCGTGCTCATGATCTGGACTACTCCATTTTCTCATTTTCTTCATTTCTGACACCTTTGCCTCCTCCACTGGAACCTCTGTCACCTCTGCGTTCCGACCTGCACGTCAGTTCCAAGTCAGAAAAGAGCAGCAAAAGCCAGGAGCTGACCTACAGTCAAAGAAAATCGTTTCAGGACCTAGTGACAGGATCAGAGGAAGAGGAAAGTCAGGACGGCTCAGACATTGACCTGAGCAGCAACACTCGGCCTTCCTCTCGGACGGTTCCTACAGCTTTGCCATCAAAGCCCAGCGCGATGCAGCAGAAACCAACTGCCTGTGTGAGACCAATGGATGTCCAAGATCAGGCGCGAGAGGAATCGCCAGATCTCAAACCTCTCCTGGAGGAATACCATAGAGAGCCCTTTGAAAAGATCTCAGATCTGAAGGTGAATGCCAGAGCCAGACTATTCAAATCAGAAATCCCTTCTGAGCCCGTAAAGGTGTGTTAGGAGACTCTGTTGCTGGCAGGGTAAGCTCAGCTATGGGAGGACAGGTCACCAAAGGGCAGAGACTACAAGCAGCATTGATGGCTGTGCACACTTTATCACTTTTAGAAGGTGTATTTTAAGAGTGCCTTTTGCCAGTACATCTGGGGGAGATACCTGGATGGTGAAAATGCAGCACTCGCCATGATTCCGTGTCTGTTTTATCAGTGAGGCTGCAGCAGGCCTTATGGTTAGAGCGACTGCTTCTGTTGCTGTGACTTTTGTCTTGCCTGTAAAGATTGTTGAAAAGAAGAAGGGGGGAAATGATACGCTGAGAGGTCAGGGGGTGATGTACCTACAGTCAGTGCATGCAGAGCGTCGGTACTCAGTGCTGGTGAGTAGAAGTCCCATATGTTCGCTGAGTACTGGGACAGCTGACTGTGCAGGGAGTTCTATGGTCACCTGGTAGGATGAAGGTTTTTGGGCTTTTTGGGGTTTTGGGTAGTTGTCTGTGAACACCACAGGGCTCTCCTAAGTGAGTTTGTACGATGTAACTGTAGACCCTCAGGGAAGTATCAATGTAAACAAAAAATATCCTGAAGATTTCTACCAGATGGACTTAGCCCTTGGGAAGCACGAGACCATTCTGTTTCCCGCTCCATGGAATGTTTTTTGAGCAGTTTCTCGAAGGAAATTTAGTGCAGAAGTGGGATTGTAAATCATAAGCAAGACCCTGAAAGCCCTCTAAAATTCTGCATTCAGGGAAAGACTGTAGGCTCTTTCTTGTCCCCCAGCTATGAGCAAAAGGAGCAGAGCTCTTTTGTTTGTTGTTGTCAGCAGAAGGCATCCTGGGCAGCAAGCTCGAGCATATCTTAGTTCTGGTCACTGCACTTGTCCTTTCTCTGCCAAGGACTGAGACCTAAGGCAGCTGGGCAAGGAGAGAGGTGGAGAGAGTTTTAAGATTGTGTTTTGCCTTTGTAGGAGAAAGGGAGAGTGTGGGTGCCTTCTGCCTTTTGTGGAAGAGGGTGTTGATCAGCTGCAAACGGCTGTAGGCAATTTCTTGTGGAAAAGGAGAGGAAACTGGCAAAATGACATTGATGAGAAGTTAACAGGTACCTTAATGCCCAGGTTTGAAAAGAAACAAGTAATAGACACAGACTAAACCCAACCAAACAGTAGCTATGCTGGGTTTGGATCTAAGTGACTAGAATTTTGTTGCAAAATGCCTTTTAGCTTTTAATAGCCTGATTCCTGCTGACCTCCAGCAGTACATAAACCCTCAAGTGGTTAAATGGCTTTAGGAAGTAAAGCTAGAGCTTCTGAGAAACTTGAAACCTTCAGGCAAAGGAAGGCAAACCTGTGATTTTTTTTCTTTTTCTCCGAAGCTCTTTGGACACAAGAAAGAGGTCCATGCATTTAGTTTGAGATTGAGCAAAATAATCCATCTTGGAGTTAGAAAAGCATGTAATATCTTTGAGGACTGTTTTATTTCCTCCAGGCAGCCAGGCAGGAACAGGACAGTGCACCCATTGTTTACTGAGCATTTTGATGTAAAATGCTTCCATTGCCAGGAGCCTTCATTGTCAGCTGAAGAAAGCAAGAGTAGAAGTTGATGGAAACGGTTTGGTTTGTTTTCAAACCTGCAGCAAGGGTGGTGGCAGGCTGGAGCTGCTGTCTTGTCTTGTCTTGTCTTGTCTTGTCTTGTCTTGTCTTGTCTTGTCTTGTCTTGTCTGTGAGTGGGGCTTCTGGGTTGACCCTGGGACAGAAGCAGGAGAGTGCCTGGAGGTATGGCATTGTTTCAGTGACTCAACTTTAGGTTGCCTTGGAAAGGAGAGGAGTGGACTTGAATGGGTTAAGCGCGCTTGTGAAATCGTCCACAGGGGACTTGGCTGCATGCAACCTGCTGGTTAAACTGGGGCTCACAGAGGACCTGAAATAGCACCCAGATAAATTATTTTAGAAGGCTCCTGTGGACTTTGAGCCTGGTGGCTTTGATTTGTAGTCTGCCATGAAGTCGCGGGTGTCAAAACCAAGCGAGCAGCGTAAACACAAATATGAGAACAAGTAGATTTTGATGTAACTTTGAAGATTTCTGTCTCGCTGGATGAGGCAGAGCCATTCTGTACATTTCTGTGGTGCCTCAGTATTGCTTTAGTGTGCATAAAGCAAAAAGTATAGCATGGTTTTTGTTTTTCATGAAATGTAGAAGTGAAACTTAACGCTGGGAGCAATGGCAAGCAGATGGACTTTAGCTTTGCTTTGCTGGAATTACAAGAGTCTTGCTCCATTACGGTCAAGAACTAAGCTGGTGAGAGGGGAGATGTAGGATGCGTTGCTTGTTTCTGCTCCTCCTGCACTGCTAAACCCACCCAGCTGGCTACCTGAAGCTAGAAGAAAACTTGAACAAGTGCATCCCCAAACGTACATTTTACAGCTGCTGCAGTGTGAGGTGCCTTGTTAGTGCAGCACTGGAACCAAGTTTCTTCTCTTTCCACAAGGACAGTCGGATTGGAAGGTTTTTGAAAGTTGGGTTTCCGTTTCAGTTTTCTTTGAGTTGCATTTTGCCTTTCCTTCTCTCTTCCACCTTTTGTCTTGTTTGTTGTGGCCATTGTGTTTTTGATGAAATGAAGTGAATTTTCTGCGCTAAAAACGGTGCGTCTTGCGGTAATTATTAACCCTCTGTGAAAATTAATCCTAGCCTTAGGCAATCTGCTCAGAAAATTGCCTTCTCTGCTCATGGGTTTGTCGTTCTCTGACTGCAGCTTCCCGAATTTCGTAGAACAGCTCGAGCTGCTGCTACGGGGACTCGGCTGCCAAACAGTATCTGAACGTTATTTTGCAGTAGCAACGAACCCTCAGGCAATTTCCACGTAACAAAATGGCCTTTAAAGTCTGTAGCTATAATTCATGGAGCAGTCATGAAAGACATATTTAGCTCTGTGCAATCTGAGAATTTAAACAAATTATATCAACCAAGATTTTGTGACTAGATAACAAAAGTCCCTTTTTGAGCTTCTGATTTGAATGGTTTTGAGCCAATACAAAAATAGCACCAAGGGAAACCTAAGGGTGTGCAAGTATTCCCACGCTGAAGTCAGGGAAGGGATACTCATCCTTAAAATACAGCTTGTTTCGAAGTCTGTGCACACTTTATCTGGTTTGTTATTGGCTTAGTGCAAAGCCCACAGGCAACAGTGCGAAGACACCTCGGTAAGCTTCAGCTCAAGTTCCATATTTTTCCTTATAAAAAGGCTAATAACTCTTTTTGTGTGAACTTTAAAACAGAAACAAATATAAAAAACAACCCCTACAATTCCTGAACCTGAAAGAAGTCAGAAGAAAATCTTGTGTTAACTACCTGCCTGTACCTCCCGTACTTGATGCGGTTTTGCTGCTTTTGTTTGCTCGACACCAGTGTTGCGGTTTCCCCTGTGTAGCCAGTTCTCCTGTGGCTTGCAGGGGCCTTTTTTACTGCAGCAGCTGCCAGTTTTGTTTGCCCTCTTAAGAAAGGGTAGACGTTCCCCATGCGTCAAACACTTGTGGGAATCGGTGAGCGGATGAAAGAAAGAGATCTGTTGAACAAGTGCACTGTGTCTGCAGCAAGCGATAAACATCCCTTAAAAACATGCTTAAGGACCACCCATGCTGATAGTTTGCTTGCAGGATGGTGCCTGCCTGACTAGAAATTATTTTAATCACAGGTATATTCACACAGTCTTCGTATTTGTTCCAATAAACGCTCTCCTGAATAGGTAACTAGGAACGGTTGCTTCAGCTTTCCCCAAAAGCAGCTTTGTCACCACATCCTCTAAAACCAGGTGGATGGAGTAAGCCATGCTTCAGATCGTTGGACCTGTCTTTGTATCAGAGATGTATTATAATCTCTTTAGTGGTAAATGTTTGGCAGAGCATCTGCTTTGGTGTCTGGTGTTTCTTAAGATAGCCTGCAAAAACCTGTATGGATTTCTGTGTTTACGTGTTTGTTTTCATCAAGTTGATTGTAGCTTCAAGTTTTGGCAGGCTTTTTCAGTACACAGCAGAACATTATTGCATCCCTAATCAAGATGATTAGAGGCTTGGTTAAAATACATACAGTCTCTTTTGTTGGCTGGGTCATTTTGGAAGCGTGCCCTATGTGTGTGCATCTTGCATCTATCTATAGTATTAGAGGGTAGATTCTTAACACAGAAATGCAGGTGGAAAATCACTTTGAAGAGTAAGTTAGTGTGTTATTCCTAGCGTGACTTGTGTGTGAACAGAGAGTGCATTTAATATGCAAGATCTCCTCCCGCTCTGAGCTAGCGAAGCACGTACAGATGAAGTGAGGAAGGGTGGTAGGTTTTGGTCTGATCTTGCCCCGCCTGTTCTATTCAAACTAAGTCTTCATTCATGCATATGCAGTTTTGTGATCCCCATTGCATTCAAGGGGCAAAAGCCCATGCGGTTGACATGGAAAAATAAATTTGTAACCAAATATTTCTATTAAAATATAGTATTAAATTGGAAGCAGCTGTAAATGGGAAACATTTTCAGCAGCCTGAAGAGGTGACCTTCTCTGCTGATAATTGATAGCTGCAGTGGCAAAGCTCTCATTAGGAAACAAAGAAAACTGCCAGCACAGTGAAGGGCATGGAACTCAAATTGGCTTTTCTGATCCTGCTCGCTCGGGTTTTCTCAGCACTAATAATTTAGCCTGAAACCAGGCAAAGAGCAGTAGCTGGTATTCTTGAGCCACACACACACACACACACGTTGCGAGTCCATTTCAATTAGGAGGAGATAGCAGGCAACATAGGAAATGCCTGCGTGCTCTAGCTCTTCTTGACCTACGCTGCTTGCATATCTACAGGCACCAGTTTCACCTGAGGTGAAAGGGACTGAGAAGCAGCACAGGGCTGATTGGTGTCAGAGGGGCAGCTCTACGTGGGCTGTGACGACAGAGGCATACAGATAAGCAGGCGGAAATTACTGAAATGAGAAGGAGCAGAAAGGTCTTTAGGCAAGGCAGGCTGTTTACAAATCAGGGAGCAAGCTTCAGCCCCCTACTTCCACATGCCAGAGCTGTGTGGTCCTTCAGCTCCATTTGGCACACCTTGGCAGAGTGGAATAAAAATGTGTGCTGTAATTTCTAATGGAATACCTTTGATAAAAAGCAGCAGCCTTAAAAGCTCTTCAGCCATTACCCCAAACCAGCGCTGCTTATTCCTTGTAGTATCTGTGGCAAAACCTTCTTTTCAAAAAGATGCCCACTTTCTGAGTTTCCCAGCTTTGGCGAGCGTTGACTGCATTGTGCAGAGAGGAGAAAGCTGGGCTTTTGCCACTATTCTGTCAATGCTTCTCGTGCTTTGCCCTTCCGCCTCCAGCTATCACACCGAGACCAAGGAGCAGGCTACTGGTGCCTCCTGCTGTGAGGCTGTAACTGAGTCTGCCACAAAAGACGGCAGTGCCGGGCAGGCTGATGCCGTCCCTGTCTTGAGTTACTGCCTGGTTGGGGCACTGCACTGCTTCTGGTTGATGGCTGGGTGTCTGGCCCACACATCATGGCCAGTGGACATCTCCTTTGTGTACCAGGTGGTTCCTCAAGCAATTTAGTTTGCTTTGGGGTGATTCTTATTATCCTGAGTTCCTTGTTCATCCCTCTCTAGTGTGTCTAAGAGATCTCTGTAAGCCTCAGGGCATGTGCTTATGGAAGTGTGTGGGTTTTTTGGAATTGCTGGTGAAAAGAGGACTTGGAGGTATTTCGGAGAGTTTTGTCACACAGTTGCTGTGCAGCTTGAACAGAATGCCTGTGCATTTCTTAAATTGTTTTCTGCATGAAAATCTCCCTCCCTTCTTTTGCGGGTGTGTGCACCTGTGCATTTGTGCAAGCCTGTTGTAGTGAAGGCAGACTAGTTCCTCCCCGTGTTGCTCTAACCCGGCGGTGCATTCAAGGTTTTATCCTGAACTGCACAAGTTAGTCATACTGCTTTTCAACTTTTCTAATCACAGTTGGTGTTCCCTTGAGTCCAGGAGCTGGCATTTAAGAGTCCGGTGGGTTATTCTTCCACTTAACAGCCACCTTTACTTTGCCTGCTCCCAGTTTAGGGCTTTATACTGGCTTCTTATTCTGCTGAGTGCACGTGGGTGCACAGAAGGACACCAGTTAGGAAGCAGGGGGAATCCTGTCAGCTGGACAAGCACCACTGTTTAATGAACTCTCTTTCACTTTGGTTCTTTCTCATCTTTATTGGAATATATCTTCTACTAAAGACTTGAAAACAACAGGCTTTGTAGAATAAAGTGCCCTTCTGATGGGGCTTTTTAGTCTTTTCTTATTAAGGGACTCCCGTGGCCTTTGTAGAACTGTTGGTAAGCAAACGTTTGATGAGTGCCTCTGTTTATCTCAGTCAGCTGGTAAAGGAACAAAGAAACTCATGCTGCTTCCTTCTTTTTATTTGCTTGTAGCAAACCTTCCGCTGGGATGCCCAAGCCGTTAAGGAAATTTTGAAGGTAGGTGCTCTTAAATAATATATCGACGTGTTTGTGTTTTGTATACATTGAAGTAGTGGTGGGGGGAGGAGGAGGAATATCACCGCGTGCATGGCACTGCTGCTGGACTGGGCTTCTCTGTCCCTGTAATTATGGTACATTTGCGCCAATCTGAGCCAGCTCTTAATGCAAAACTGCCTCTGCAACCTGTGTCAGAGATGGCTTTGTGGGCAGCGCACAGGCTGCCAGTACTCAGCTGGGTCTGAGTACATGGGACCCTTTCACCGAGCACAGAGTGCAAATAAGATAAGTGTTCCAGGAGAGGCGGTGAGGGTGGCAGGTCATATGAGTTCCTTTATTTCTGGGAGTGAGTATTACACTCTTCAGGATTTAAACTTAATAGGGAGACAAGAAAAGTCTGTCTTGTGTGATTTCAACAGAGTGGTTCTGAATTTCTGAGCCCCAGCTTCCCCAAAGGTTTTGTCTAGATTGACCCCCATTAAGGTTTTTTAGCGTATGTTCAAGACGAAGATCGTTGTCTGTGCTAGGCTGTTCACGTGTTTGTTGCAGTGCAAGCCAAAGCTTTAGCCCAGTCCTCTGTGTCCAGCTGTGGTGCCAGAAGAGGCAGGTTGGAGGTTGATCCCTATCTCCTGGCTGCGGTCTGTGTGCTCTACTCTTAGCCGGACCATGTCTTAGCCCAACTAGCTGGTCCCTGGGTGAGAGTTAGGGCAGGGCAGCAGGGCAGAAAGGCTCCTAAAGACATAGCCCATCAGGCAGTCGCTCTCTTTGGTTTGAAACCACATCTTGGAGCTCTGCAGCAAAGGCATCTTGGCCAGTCAGAGCAAAAGGCAGTGTTTCAGGTAGAATAGCATGAGGAATGGCTGGCAGTCAGAGCTCCCTAGCTGACCCCCTTGAGTTTTGAAAAGCCTTTCAGGGGGGTGTTGTTGCTGTAATAGGAACATAATAGGAAGTTCCTGAACTTTGAAAAAGTCCAGAGCTACTGGTAGACAGGTTTTATGTCCTTTTCCCTTTATTAACTGTGATAGCCTAATCCTGCAAACATAGGAAGTATTTAACTCTCTACAAGGTTCACTGAGGTTGCTGCTAATTGGGCAATGCAAGTATGCTTGGAGAAAAAGAGCAAGTGCTCATGACGGTCTGGCTCGCTGAGCTCCAAGAGGGCTTCTTGCTGTGGTATTGCCTCTTGGGTTTACGATGGGCTCAGCTTTTTATTGTACATGAATATAAATGTCTTTGAGGTACAACTTCAGTTGCCTGTATCAGCAAAAATACTGTAACCCACTTCTGTCATTTGCTTTCCAGGAAATGACCCAGTCATGGCCACCTCTTCTGACAGATATTCCTACTCCTCCTACTGCAGAGCCTTCCAAATTTCCATTACCAACTAAGGTAAACACCCTCTTTTTGCCAAGGCTTTTGATAAATTAGAAGAGAGCTTTCCAACTCTTGCACGTACTTTCATCTGATGAGCTTTCCAACTCTTGCACCTCCTTTCATAGGTAAAGGCTTTTAGGAGAAATTATCTTTAGAAGTCACAATGGATTTTGAATTGTGTGATGGTTACTTGCAATGCATCACTTCTGTCCGTGCTAAGCTACATCAGGCAAGCTTAGACTATTGGAGACTTCGGAGTTATTCTTTGTCACGTTGCTCAAAGTATCGATTAGAGTAACAAACACAAGGAAATCGGATCACTGATACGCTGCTATTGAGAGATGATGTATTTGATTCTCAACTTGCACCTTGTGCTTGCTTTCTAGGAGTCGCAGCCTGTTGGATGTGTAGCACAGAACCAGAGTAAGTAGAAATCCAAAGGAAAGCACACTGTTCTATGTGTATTGAGAGATGGTTTTGAGTGTCATACATTGAGAACATCAAATGTTTACCTTGATTAAGGGACGTGGTTTCCTGTGCTTTGTTAAACATTGATGAGTTTAGAAAATGCTGAAGAGACTGTATGCATTCCTTACCTAGAAATTAAGGCAGCAGTTCAGCAGAGAACAAACAGTATTTCATTAGGAAGCCCCATTTGGAGTGATAAATAATCTCAGTGGCAATCAGTTACGTCCTGGAAGAAAGTGACTTTCTAACCTGATGCTCAGAGACCATAGGGTAAAATACGCTACCGGTGAGGCAGATAAACCCCGCTGATTCTCTTTTGATTTACAGGACAGTACGATGGACCTTCGGATACGTTGCCTCGTTCTCAGACAACAGTATCGTAAGTAACCAGACTCAGTTGCCATCTCTTGGTTGAGATTGTAGAGTCTTGCACTCAAGCTCTGTCAGGTCTGTAAAACTCAACCCTTTTCGTGCTGTTCTGACATTCTGCAGAGGAGCCTCCCCTGGCTGGTAGTGTGGGATAGTGTCTTCCTGAGTAGTTAGCTGCTGCTTTAATCCATTCTTTCTTTTGCTGCTCCTTCTTCCACCCCAGCTTGCTCCTCCTGAAGGACTTCTGGGACTTTTCTTTGCGCTGTTAAACATACTCGTTTCAACTGCTGCAGGCTCTGCCTTCCTCCACAGACAATCTTTTTCAGCTCTTCTCAGCTGCCTGTAAAAATCCCTTTTGAGCTTGAGTCAGTTTTCCAGGCAGCAGAGAGAGAAGAGACTTTTACTGTAGACAAGAATCTGAAAATACGCCTTTCTTAGCGCAGAGGTCCAGAATTGTAACTTCGGCATGGTACGTACCTCTGTCCTTCGCCAACATCCCCTCTCTGCTCAGCGTCCGTGCAGGCTCTTCAGAGCCAGTGTACCCACAGTCAGCAAAGACAGCTGAAGTGGGAGGAAGAGGGTGGCTTAGGCTAATGTTCAAAATGGAGTCAAGAAGGATTTCCCCAGGGACTTCCTCTGCACCTGTCCCTTGAACCGATGCATCCCTTCCTCTTTGTTTTTCTGTTTTCACTCGCACAACAGGGCTTGCTTTCTTTGCTGTTTAAATCACACGTGACTGAAAATCCAGCTGCCTGGAGTAGCTTGCCTTACCAAGTGTAGCTGGCTGAAAACAAACAGCGCTTGTGCTGCTTAATTTGAAGCAGCCCTGAAATCCCAGGGTGCTCGTGTGCCCAAATTAAGCATTCGGCTTTACAGAGCGTGCAAGGGTTTCCCAGACGGCTTTCATTCTTGAATACAGCCTGAAGTTAGCACCTGGCAGTGCTGGAATGGAAGAGCCCTTCTTTTAAAAGGGGAAATGTCTCACTCATTTGTGGTGATGCATCTTTAGCCCAGCTGGCGGGGAAGGACCAGCCTTTGCTTTCAAGCGATGCTGATTTTAGTGCTCCTTCTCTCACTAACAGAGCTTTTCTATAGCTTTGGAGGGAGATTGATGGTGTGTATCTAAGCTGGAAAAGAACAGGTCCTGCAAATGAAAACCTGGCGTCTGTTAAGGCATGAGCTAATTAAGGCAGCCACAGGGCAATGGCACGGGCCAAATGCAAAGAGAGCGCGGTAGGCCTTTGGGTGTAACCAAAGTCTGTGTGCGCAGAGAACCTCTTGTGCATCAGGGTAAGGTACTCGGGGACTGTGGGGTTGGTGCCTTTTCAACAGGCATCATCTGTGTGGCAAGGGTTGGCTCTGTACTGGTAGACACAGGAGACCTTTGGGGTTTCTTCGCGCCATCCTGCTCAGTGGACAAGAGTGGATTTGTCACATCTGATTTGTGGAATTGTTTGTTGGGAGTCCGTGGTCAGCTTTGGCAGTAAATGTGGTCCTGTTTCAAGGAGAGTATCTCCGTGCATGGCAGCTGCTTTGGTGTGACTGTAAAATAGCGTGTCTCTTTTGTGGGAACTGTGCTTAAAGGAGGGAATCACTTTTTTGACTCAAGGTTTTCACTCCTCCGATGTCGCAGAATTAGGAAAGCAAAGGTCACCTCAGGGTCATCAGAGGTGACCTCCAGAGCTGTAAATGGTTTTTGCTTTGTTCATAATCGGACATGAAGGCGTGAAAGAACGTGAAGTTTTGTGTCGTTTTCCTTTTCCCCACAAGTATCAGGAACACAAACTCTGCCCCCACTTTTCAAGGTGGATGTGGTTTCCTGGGAATCTTTCTTACTTGTTTTCCTGCTCTAAAATGTCTTGTCCTGAGGGGTTGGAGGCTTACTTTTCTTATTTGGGCATGAGAGAAATTTCTCACAGAAAGCCCTTAGTTGGAAATGAGGTTGAAATAAACGCAGCTTTGACCTGATTGATCAAAATCCCTGTGTCAGTGGCCAAGCTTTCATCCCGTTTTGAAATGACACTTGTGTAATTCTCTGGGTTGAGGAGCTGGTCTCCAGCTAGTTTCAGGATTTGAATCACTGTACTTTCGAACAGCAGGAGTTTTGCCTGTCTGTTTTCCAGCTCCTTTTGAATATGCCTGTGTGATTTCCAGAGGAGAATAACACCTGGGGGAAGGCTGGGTCCCCGCCCACAGATCCTTCCCTTCCAGCCTCTCGAGGCCTTCAGTAATACATTGAAATAGCAAGCAGTAGTTACCACCTGCAGGCAGAGGACGAAATGATGCTTCTAGAAACATTTGCAGGCAGCCTGCTCTCTAGCAATAGTAAAAGAGAGTTTGCGACTCCCCACTTGTAAGCTGCTTGGAGTGTCTGAACTGCTTGATTTACAGTTATTGCTGAGATGTGCAGGAGCATCAAATTCATTGTGTAGAGAAGAAAGAGGAGGGAGGCTTGCCCTTGGCATTTACTTACGTATGTACGGTAGAACACTTGAGCAGCAAAAAGAGAACCCTTGTGACAGAAAAACATTTGCAGCCCCTGAGAGCAGAGAGCATGAGCGCACGCAGCTTCTGGTGCACAGATGATGCTTTCTGTCCCTTGGGGACTCAGTGCAGCCCAATAGCACGCCACTCTCTTAATGTACAAGGATCAGAGTTCTTCCACCCTGTGCTGCTGCGTTAGTGCGCTGGACAAACTTAAGCGAGGAGCATTCCCCTCACAGAGCTTCATCTTTGTTGTGTGTAGATGGCAGCCAATGATACTGACATCCTTTTCAAAATGTCCTGAGATTAGTTGAAAAGTACAATATAATGTTCCTAGATTGTGTGTTATCGTTTTATCATTCATTAACGACAGGGTTTAGCAGATAGAGAATGCCAAACATTCCTAAAGAATGTGGGAGGTTGGTTTCTTTTGGCAAGCACACACAAACCAAGTCGTTTTCAGTGTCTGGTACTTGAAAGTACGTCTGCCTTGGCTGATACTTATCTTCTGGTTGTCTTTCAGAGTGCTGCTCCAGGAAGACCTGCAAGTCAGTGACAGCGAAGACAGCGATGACAACCAAGTCGGTTTTAGATGTTTTATACGCTGGGCGCGCAGACATGCCTTTAAATCATCAGGCCTTGTTGCGTTGTTCCGAATGCCTTAAGCTAACCTTTACTCTCATTCTCCTCCTTCTTTTTTGTGAACAAAACAGGTTGCTGACAATCCACTTGCTCCTCCAAGGTACAGCTTTGTTCTTGAACTAACAGCTAGACTAAATAAGAAGGGAAAAACAAACTACGTCTTAATATATGGGGTGCATGGGTAAGGGGTTCCTTGTTTCTCCTGTAGCTACAGGATTTGGTTTCTAGCTGCCCGAAGCTGCTGTTGAAAATTGGCGTTAGTTGTATGGGGTTTTACAGAAAGCTCCAATGAGAAATGAATAATCCAGGCATGCTGGATTTTTCTTATCAACCAGAATTATATTTCCCCAAGTTCTCTTGCCCTCCACCAGAGTATCTGAAGATCACCCTGGAGCCAAGGGGATTCTCAGTTGTAGTAGTGCTGGGTGAGGTGTGAGTCCAGTTTTAGTTTAGAAGGAAGCCCAAAACAGCCAAGCAGGCGAAGAACGGAAAAGCGTTGGGTAGACTCACGGAGGCTGTTTCAGCTCCTCCTGATAAGGCAGCTCCTTATAAGTAGTTCCTGCCATGTATTGTTAGTCAGAAGCAATATTTAGGGTAGACGTAACGGCCACCTGCCAGTATTACAAGAAGTTGAGAAGCACAGAATTTTCAAGATTTTCAAGAAACTTGCCTCCAATCCATACAAATGTGTTGATTCTGACGTATGGAACAAGTTTCAAAGAGAAAAAAAAATATTCACAAGCCCATTTCGAAACAAAGGACTGCATCCAAGTCATGGCTCTTCCTCAGTTCCATTCACTCCTGTTGCCAGTGCTGGAGGAAAACACTCCTGAAGAGAGGAGAGTCTTGCAAAAACTGCTGGTGCTTGACGTGGTTGTTAAAGAAGCAGTTCCAGCACCTTGCCCAAGTAACACAGATGAATTGAAAACTTTATGGGAAGAATATAGAAAAGAGAAATCATCCTGGCGTGGATGTTTCTGTGTCGTTAGCCTTTACGGCACCCTTTTCTTTTGAGGGATGAGGCTTTCAAAAGAGCACTTGCCAGTTTTGGTTCCTTTTTAAAATTCAGTTGGCTAAATGCAGCTGCAGACTGCAGCAGTCCTGCTCAGAGATTTCTCTGACCTGGTTATAGAGTTGGAGGTTTTATTACTTCTAGAGGTTTTTTATTCCGGTGCTTTATCTTTTGAGCATGGCACTGTATTCCTTGGCCTTATCCTTTCTCGTCTCAGTACCAAAACAGGGGTTTCAGTTTTAGTTTTGAATCTTGTCATGTCAATATAACAAGAAACTTCACCTATGCTGCTTTCTAATTTTATCTCATGGTGGCCTTGCAGTGTCCAACAGTCCCAGGCCAAGACTGTAGCATCAGCACATTCCAGCAGCTCGGAGTCAAGGAGCACCAGTGGCTCAGGGAGCACCAGTGACTCAGGGAGCACCAGTGACTCAGACAGCTCTTCAGACTCAGAGACAAGTGGCAGTGAAGCCAAGGAACCTTTGAGAGCGTCAGCGCCTGAGGTGAATGCAGATAAAATGCAGAGGCTGCTTAATACAGCCTCTTGCCTCAGCCTCCCCGCTGTCTGAATGCAGCCAGGACAGGAGACCTGAAATCCTCTCATGGCTCAGGTGTCCCTGTGACGTCTATGCTGCATCATCAGACTTTTCCTGCCCTTTGCTCCCCTTCTAGAATTGATCAATTCTATAACCCTTGTTAACAGCATAATTAGAGTTTTACCTGCTTAACCTTGAAGTGTTTGTCTAGCACTCCTTGAGGAATTAGTGACTTCACTGGCAAAACATAAGGAAGGCGCAGATGAGCAGCACAGCTCGTCTGGGGTGTCTGGGACCCACCTCTGCTCACGGGGCTTTTCTGGGTGCTACAGCTATGGACTGCTTCAGGATAAGACCACTTTCCTGATAGGTTAAGAGGAGCCCCTCTCTCAGTGCAGCTCCTGTGCACAAGTGACAGATTGAGCTTCTCCCAGATTGCAGCTGAAGTGATCAGACCTGCAGGAAGGGCTGGAATGTGCTTAGACTTGCTTCTGTTGGATTTGGCTCAGATAGTGCTGCACTGGCAATTCTGAGGCTTTTATTGGGAAAAGCAGACAAACAGAATGTGGTGCCTTAAGGTTTCATTACTGAGAGCATGCATTTTCTAAAAGTCTGCTGCGGAAGTGCTCGTGTCCCATGGTTTCAGACAGTTCCTCCAGCTTGCAAAACGTTCTCAGGCCAGTGGGAAGGGAAGCGCATGCCTATATCCTATGGACCACAGCTGATGTAAGCAGTCTGCTGACAGTTTTGAGGTGCTCTCACAAACCCCAGAAACCCTATAATTTATTTCTTCCCCCTCCGCCAGCCCTAGCTTTCCTGTCTTTTACCTGAGAAGCACCTCAACGGGGAAAATTTTATGTGCAGAAAACAGACTTTGAAAAGGAGTATCTTTCTCATCTTGGATCTACACGCTTTACCCTCCAGCAGTTCAGTTACAGACTTTGCCCTTTGCAACGTGGGTGTCTTTGGAAGGAAGCAGATGTTATGTGCTTCTCTTCTTTTACCAAATGCTGCCTGCTTTGTCCTGAGAACCCTCCATTGAAAGACCCTTCTTGCTCCAGTGAAGTTATTTGCCACTGTTTGCCAATGATCAGCTATTTGCCACTGATGGTTTATCCTTGTTTTATACAGCAAATTGTTCATCCATGATGCTCGAGGAGCAAGTTAGTGCACACGGCCTGTTTGTTTATAGTTAGTTCTTCCCATGCAAAAGCACAGACTTTGACCTACAGGCCATAGTTCCTTCTTCTTCTTAAACAGAAGTCTAGTGTTTGGAAAACCTAATGAAAACCCCTAAACCCATGGGGAAACAAACTGGGTTTTAAACCGGTTTTCTAGGTAGTTTCACTCAAAGAAAGTTGAGGACATGTCTTGTTTATCGACGTGTTCTACAGCGAGTTGAATGTGGATAGAGAAGAAAATCACAGCGGAAGGGACCCAGGAGTCTCGGTAAACTTTTCATGTAGTAGAGGCTGTCTTTTTGGAGAAGAACTGTGGTTCCTCTTGGAAGCAGAGTTGTGACTGAGGAGAACTGATGTGGGCAAGAGCATAGCTGTGCTCTGGTGTCCAGACAATGAGCTACACATTTGAGTGATGCTGACACACACATGGTAGTTTCAGCATGGGTCCTAGAGAATTGTGTCTGATTTGCAGCTTCTGTTGTCTGGTTCAGGGTTAGTTGGCTTTACTGTAATATGTCAGACTGCTGTTAGATTAGGCAGGGCTTGTAGCAATCCCATTCTGTTATCTGACTGACTCCAGAGGCCTTCAGACCTCGGTCATTGCTTATGCCTTGCTTGATGCGGAGGGAAGCGTGTGTTGGGCTGTGTAGGCAGAGGAGTGGGAAGAGGCCGGACTTGATGTGCTATACAATTCTGGTAAATGGTTTTCTCATGGTTAAACCACAGGAGCCTGACAGCCGACCTGTCAGACTGCAGAGAGGTGTGACAGCTGGCACAGGTTCTTGTCGCTTTGAAAGCAGTGCTGCGTGCAGGAAGTTTTGCGCAAGCGTTGCGAGGACAGCACCTAATCTGTTTTTACAGTTGACGCTCTTTATAGATGTTGTCTCAGTTTGCAGCAGGGTTGGTTAGTGGCAAACAAAGATGAAGCTTTCATGTAGACTGGTGTCTTAGTGAGTGACAGGCAGGGCTAGCAGTGATCCAGGAGTGCTGTGCAAGACGTTTGACTGATCCTGTGGAGAAATGGGGTCCGTGTTTCTGAAGCAGATGTCGATGTGCTAGAGCATCCCCACGGTCTCATGGTCTCTCAAGCTCTTTCAAACAGTTGAAAGAGGAAATTTTCCTGGGTTCTAGTAAGCTGTGCTAGAAGGAAAATAGCTCATGAAGACCTCAGTCTTTCATCTCTCCTTTCTCTTTTTGCCTGCAGCCTGACCCACCAACTTCCAGTAAGTGGCAGGCTGGCAACTGCCTAACCAAGGTAAGCCCACCCTTCTCCCTGCAACCCATTTAAAAGCAGCACAGTATCTGAAATGCCTGCTAGAGTGTGCAGTCATTTGTGCTACCCGTTTAATGTCTGTTGTGGGAGAGCACCTTGTCTGCAGTTTGGGGGTGTGCCCCGAAGAACTAACCCAGCCATCCCAGTTTGTGCTTTTCAGTTTTGTCCATGGGTGCCCCTTCTGCTGCCATTAGCCAAGTAAGCTCAGTCTGAGTAGCATAGCCTTTTCCTGTGTGGAGTAGTCTGAAACAGTTGTGATTGCTTGCTTACACAAAGAGAAAGGAATTCTGCAGGCTTGAACTGTGTTATTCCTTAGGGGCGATGGTAGAAGCTTCGTGCCTTTTGCTTTTCCATAAATGCAAGCTTTTAACTGAAGCAGGTTCACTGACAGTAACAACCATCCCTAAACCCTGCTTTGGATCTCAGTGCTTGGATAAATACATAGAAGGTTTCTTTGGCTTTCCCTGGAGCTGTCGTGGTTCTAGCAGTGAACAGACATACGTGAAAAGACACGTATGTCCAGTAAGGGGCTTTCCAGACACATCCTTGCAGAGTCCTTCTGCTGTAATAGTTGCTTTCCTTTGAATTAAAGGCAGCCCTTTATTTAGCAAAGATAGTAATTGCTCACAAGTGGTTTTTGGAAAGCTATCTATCTCCCAAAGGGGACTGTGAATAAGCTTCCAGGCAGGCACAGAGAAAGTTGGCTGCAAGCCTTATGGTGGATGGGTATTCGCTATGGATATTTCTGTGCCTGTATACCTTTTTGGTGGTCCGCACCAAGCGGGTAGCTTAGCATGTGTAGGTGAATAAGCCTGGTTCCCATGTGGGTTTAGTTTAGTCTTGGCATTTTCTGAACTTCCCATAGTTGTAGGGGAGAATTCAGGAGGGTGGGGAAATCGTGAAGAAATTTGAGAGACCCCAGCAGTCCCCCTTGTGCAGAGCAGTGGGGGAAAGGTGAAGAGGCAGTAAATCTGTCACTTCTCCTGCTGCCTCAGAAGACCCAAGGCAGGAGCTGTTTGATCTTAGACATGTCCTGCCTGGCAGTCTGAGCGTCTGACTTCAGGACCCCCCCCCTCAGAGCCTCACTGTCTGTATTATGTAAGCATGCATCTGTCCTTGGAGGCTTATCACATGACTACATCAGGAGGAATCTGAATACATTTCTGTATAATTCATACCAAGTAGAAGAAAAAAAGCCCAGCCAGAACAGATGCAATGCTTATTTTGAGCAATGGAAGTGCCTTAATTTTGATTACTATTAGCCGCAAGAGGTTGAGCAGTTCCGTCTCTGCCACTACAAAATATCCAAGCAGAAGGAGATAAAATGTCATCTTAGGATACTGCTCAGTGAACCTGAAATCTGTATCTGCTGTGGTCTGGGTTTCCACTTTGTTGGTTCCACTATCTTTTCAATACTTCTAACAAGAATTGATCAAACTTAGCTGCATTGGTTTATACTTTACGTGAACTTTAAAAACCTGAGTGATTTGGTTTTCTTTCTTCCTGTTAGAGGAAAGCGGTGGACGAAGAGACGAATAGGAAGAAACTGAAATCAGAGAAAGAAAAAAAATCACTGAACTCTTCACCTAAGAAAGACTCCAAGAAACTGAAGTGAGTATACGGTGGTGGAATGGCAGAAAGATGCACGAAAGTGAGTGTGTCTTAAACAAGGAACTGTATCTTCTGTCCTCACACATTTGCTTATAACGTAATGTGCCTCCTGAGGCTTCATCTGCTGAAGATTTGTCTTTAACTCCTGGAACCCACCAGGTGGCTGTGGGAATGGAATTTATTCACCTTATTATTTGTTGCAGGTGTGAAGTGATACTTGGGTGTCACCTGTTTCCGATCCCTTCTTAATGCTGAGGATTATGGTTCTAACCATTCAAGAATAAGCTGATGTTGCAGTGGCCGATCGTCCTCCCATTCATGCTGTTCGCTGCTGCACAAGCGTTGAATGTTGTGGCATTTGTCCAGATTTCTAACCGTCGAGATGGACATGATTTTAAACGCTTCCCATCCTGCAGCTTCCGTTACCGTATGCTCTGATCCGTGTATTGCGCGTAGCTCGGGATATCTCTTTATGCTGCAGGAAATGTAATTGCCAGTTGTGCCCATATTGCTTGTCTTTTTAAGCTGGTAGGCAACCCTTTGCGCTGCTGCCTTTTGGACCAGATGCAGGAAACATATTTGTGCCAACCAGATTTGTTGGTTGAGTTCCATACAGTGCGGTAGACTGCCTGCCTGCTGGGATGCAGGAGTCATTCCCCTTCTCCAAACCTCCGTGGAGGCAATCTGTCAGCAGGTGATTGCTCTAGATGATCTGGGGGGTGTTAGCTGTTCTATGGGGAGTGGCATCTGCTTGTTCTGCATGGTAGTTGAGGTGTTTCAGGGGATGGCAAGAGAACTTGCTGTCTAGCTGAAGATGCCCCTGCTCATTGCAGAGGAGTTGAACTAGACAAGTGTTAAAGGTCCCTTCCAAACCAAACTACGATTCTATTCTGTGATGTTTGAACTCTCAGAGAGTTCATTATTTCTGCTTTCATGAGAAACAGAAGTAGCCTTAAAATGCTTTCTAGGCAGGTGGCGAGCATTTCCCTTCTCCACTAAAATCATCTTGTTGGTTTTGTCTTTTTGTATCTGTGACTTAATGGGCAGACAAGCGTGTGTTTTGAATCATGACTCTGTCTGGAATTTCAGGGGGCCTTTATGGCCGGGAATTTCTCCTTTATTCCAGCATAGCGTTTGCAGTGCTTCTAATGGATGTACTGAGATTTCCCCTATATAATTTGCTTAATTTGTGCTGCCAGCATTTTGGCTAGATCTTTGCTAGAGCAAATGCTTCCAGGCGCATGTCTTCAAATGGGAGGCTTGCGCATCAGTCATGGGCTACTGCATTAAATTCTTGCTTGTGGCTTGAATTTGAGGCATTGCCTTGGATTGGTATAGCGTTGAGGTTTGTGGCCTGAAAATACGAGTAATCTGCTTTTCTGCCGAGAAAATAGAGACGTACTCTTAAAGCGCTGAAACGCTGGGCTAACGTTTAGTTGGGTGATATTTCAGTTGGTGTAATAACGGAGGGGCTTTGACACTGGGGTTCATTCCTCCCTTTTTCTCAGTGAAGGCAAACCCCATGTTCCGGCTTTGGGAGTGAAAGGAGAATATGTATTTTGGAGGAGAGAGGGCACTGGATCAGGTCAGAGGGTGCTGCTGTGCTATAATCCTCTCTGGAGCTGTAACAAGGCAGTGAAGTTAGGGAGCACGAGTGCAGTGAGTAGGGACTGTGCCATGGGAAAAGTGGGTTGTGGAGCAGGGGAGAGGACTGTCTCATGCACAGCAGAATGAAGCCAGATGCGCAACGTTACAGTTCAGTCTTTTCTCTGGGTTTAGCTTAATTTCCTCCTTGTGATGTTGCAGTCCCTGAGTTGGAATGCCCTGTTGGCTGATTTCTCACAGAGAACTGACTGTCTCTGTCTTTAAGTAAAAAGGGGCTGTGTTGGAGGGATGTCTTTTTTGCAATATCCTGCTATCCTGGTTATAAATTTTTATTCCAGGGACAAGTCCTGGGGCGTAATTCTACTTGAAAAGCAACTCGCTTGTCTGTTGTTAGCAGCTGAAGATGTGGTATCTAATGCACACTGAAATTTCATTTTGCCTTTGTTGGATTCTTAATGTCATCTTCACTTCCAGAGAGATTTCAGCATCATCGGTACATGATGCAACGAATTTTGTAAAAATTCACCACATTATTGATGCACCGTATTCATCCCAATTGCTGAATGCTCTTCCCGTCTCCAGAGCATCAAACTCCAAAGCTTCATTTGAATACTGGAAGAATGATTTTCAACCTCCACCACTGCCACCACTGTGTCCTATACCTCCTGCACCAAAGTCAACAAAGGTGGCCCAGAAGAGACGCAGAAGCCAGAACGACGAGCTGTCTGCCATCGACAACACAACCAAGACCGAGAGCAACAACAAGGATCCTTTGATCTGCAAGCACCGCAAAGTGCAGAGTAATGAAGCTGAACTATCAAAGGATATCAAGGTAGGTATCTGTTATAACTAACAGGAAGTTCCCTGCAACCCGTGGGTGCTGCGTGATTCTCTTTAGAAACATGCTCTGAGGCTATAGAAAAGGAAAGAAGATAAACCAGCCACCAGAGAAAGCTCTCTGAGGCATTTTGCCCCTTTCACGGCTATCTGTAACCGTACGTCACTAGCCCAGAAGCCTACACTGTAACTTCTCTGCTGACTTGCCATCGTTTGTTTTCATCTCATTTAGTGGAGCTTAGTGAGAAGAGGTGCCCGTGTAAAAACCAAAGGCATCGTGTTGATGGCAGTAACTGTTTCTGACTGTAGGCAACTGCAAGTACAATACTGGTGTAAAATAAGGGTGTTTACAAAAGGGAAAAGTGGGCTGCTTAAAAATAAGAAACATACAACCCGCGTGTAAGGTTTTCATAGTATCATAGAATGGTTTGGGATGGAATGGAGCATTTACCACTTCTTTGGGCAACCTGTTTCAGTGCCTCACCATCCTCACAATTTGCTTATGAAATTGTTAGTGATCCTTGCAGCTGGATCTTTGCATTTTTGGGTTGTAAAATTCAGTTGTCTTCCTATTTACTAGTGACTGGGTGGGTGTGCTCTAGTATGTTGTGTGAGTCAAGCCCGACTGTGCTCGCTCTATCAGCTGGCTTCTAACTGCTTGCTTTTTCCTTATAATGTAGTTGGTAATGGAGAATCAACGATTTTGTGGTTAAGCTGGAAATAAGTGTGAATGGATATTACCTCTTGCTGCCTTGGTTAGTGAAAGGTTTCCTGAAAAATGTGCTGCTTGCAGCCTTACTGCTATCTTAGCCATTGTGCAAGGAAAGCTGCTACTTAATTTCCCCATGCTTGGGAAAAGTATTAATGATGTGAATGGTATTAAGCCTTTCTACTAGCAGTCAGGTAAGAAGCCAGGTTTTCATTTCCATTATTGGAGGAGGTGCTGGGGAAGTAGGTTAGAAGACAGGTAGAGCCTGGGAGATAGACTATGCCTGGGACAAAAAAATATTTCCTATTGAAATTCAGGAAAGGCAAGCTTTGAAATCGTTTTCGACATCTCTCTAAGCAGATTTATCTGTATTCTGTGATTTGTCAGGGATCTGCCGGACACGTCACAAAACTTTTCCCAGTGCCTTCTTTGCCAAATGGTACCTCCCGGCCAAAGAGACCTCAACTCAAGTTTGAAAGGTAAGGTTTTGTCTTACACCCGTCATCTGTACTTTGTAAAGCCACCAGGCCAGCCTGGCCCTGCAGCTACCCTGGCTTCTGCCTTAATAGGCATTTCTCTGGGGAGGAAAGAGAGAAGGAGAGGTGTCGGCGACTTGCCCTGTACTGTCTTCTCATGTCTGGGACTTACCCCACCTACCCCAAAGCAAAGGTCTAATTACAGCATTTCTTGGACTAGAAGCACTACTCTAGAAATTAGTTACTTTTTCACTCTGAGAGGAGGTACCTCTTGTGCCTGCCTACAAATGATAGGTTTTGATTTGCCTCCTTCTTGGCAAGTGGTAAACTACTCTGTGACAAGGTGCTGGGCAGGCAGGTAACTTTTTCTGAGAGGGCATGACTCTTTACTTGCTCGTTTTGTTAGTGCACGACTGGTTGTGTGCCATTTGCACGGTGAATAGTTTATCCCACTGCCTTTTCCCTGTTTTCTGTTTTTCCTCTCTGTGTCCCAAATTCAGACATCTGAAGTATCCAGCAGAATACTACGCAGAAGAGGCCAGGAGGCTGAAACACAAAGCTGATGCAATGGTAAGTTTTGGCTCTGTGCTAGAAATGTAAAGAAGCTCATGCATTGGGAGCCAGTATTTGTGTTCATGTGCATAAGGATTCACCAGTTAAAATGACTTCCCATACTCCAAACTTGGAGTCTGTTCAAGTCATATGTGGGGATGCTGTCTTTGTTTCCCAAAATGTTCAGACATTTCCCTTTGTTATAAACACATCTAGAGAACATGCCTCAAGAACAGGATTTAGAGCAGATGTTGTCTGAGGTTAGCAGGCCACTTTGCTTTGCAGAGCTATGACAAAGCCCTTGTCAGAACAGTTATAGGACAGTTTACCCTGAAATGTCACGATCCTGACAGTAATTGTGTTGCTGGTGGACAAGACTTGGAAGTGCCCTTTGCAGATGTAAGCAGCTCTCTTCTTTATGTGCAGTTTAGCAGTGTACATGAAGTAGTGTAGTTTTTGCTAGTTAGGCCTCAGTCAGATAAGTTACATATGCTACTTGCCATTTACCTGTGAAAATGAAGTGAGGGAACCTGCCTTTCACGAGGCAGGCCTCCAAGACCAGACAGTAATATCCAAACACTGTACAGATAATAAATACTTGGGGAAACCATTGGTCAAGAGGAAGAGCTACAAACAGCCAGAGCACACCCAGACCACATTAACTGTCACCTGGAGGCCTGGCCCGCATCTTTTTCTTCCTTCAACTCCTGACTTACTAGGGAGAAAAAGGGAATGTGGGTACACTTGAGACATTTGGGTACACTAAGCCATTTTTGTCGTAGTCTAAAAAGGAGAATATTCTTCCCAATAGACTGACAAGATTGCGAAGGCCTTTCAGTACCTAGAATCTGCCCTTTTCTTCATCGAGTACGGAATTGCCTTGGAAGCGAATGCACAGAATTTCGCCTACAAAATATTCCAGGACACCACAGATTTCATCAAGTAAGCAGTTTTCAAAGCAGCATGTTTGGAGGGGAAGGGTTAGTTGCATTGCTTGTTTGCACCTGTGGCAGCTGTGGGTTCCCACCATGGAGCAGAGTTCAGGTTGCTGTACAAGCACGAGACAGGCCATGCAAAGGCACCAGAGACAAATCCTTTGAAATGGTTCAGCATTGCTTATCGGAAGAAGTAGGCGCCATGTCCTCTTGAGCATTTGAGCCTTGCAGCTGAGGTACACCAGAGAACACCGGTTCTGACAAGAAAGGGCATGAAGGGATTTTTCCTTTATCCAGACCTGAAGTTGCTTTTGCATGCGAGCTCAGTAGCATTTCAGTTTTAAAAAGCAAAGCAGCAATACAGCATGTGAAAGAGCAGTCAGTGCCCCAGAGGTCTTGCAACTTGATTGAAGGCAGACTTTACTGGTTTCTGCCATGTGTTTTTCTACCAGTACGCTTTACTGGGGCTTCTTTTAGCAACCTTCCCCATTTAGTTTCAGAGCCATAGTAGATATATGCAGGTAGTATGACATACACGGGCCGTGTGACATGTACAGGCAGCACAACCTGAGGAACCATGTATTGGATAGGAGGGAGACAGGTATCAGTTTATTCCTATTGAAATGAGGGGATGTATGAGTGTGTTTGAGAGTTGATTTGATGCCTTGCCTCACAGCTGAAACAGCTGTCAGGTTTTTCTGTCATAGCCTGCAAACTTTTAAAAGGAATTGTTTGCTTTCTGCTCTTGAGGGACTGTATTTCCCAGCTGCTGCTGTTGCTTTGCTTTGCTTTCAGAAAGCAGAGTTGCTTGGCTGTGTTTTACCAAGCGACTCATTTCCTCTAAGATGTCTGCCCCAGGCCATTAGGTGGCCCATGGGGAACATCTACTTGAAGGGGTGCTGCCTGTTAATCGTGTAAGAGGAGAGTGAGTCACATAAGAGGCCGTTATCTGTTCCTGTGGCATGGAAAACAAGGCGTTTTGAGACAGTCCTCTGCTCAAGGTCATAAAAGCACTTGGTGCCAGGACTAAGACCTCAGGGCATGTTCCCTGACTTTTGGACCAGCCTTTGAGATAATGGCATGCACTGTTTTCTCCTATAAAGAGCGGGCCATCAGATCACTGACGGCTGACAAGGTTCTCCTTCTTTTGTTTCCTTAGATTCATCATGACGCTAAAATACTGTATGAGCCCCTCAGCACCTTCACATGAAGAAATCTTTACCGTGTTATGGTGCGTAACTCTTTTTCTGTGCCTTCGTACTTTTTAGACTTGATCGAGTGAACGACTCATTACTTTCAGGGGAAAAGGAATGAGTGAAATGGGAATCAGGGTTCTGCAAGGAAGAAATCCTCACACTTGAAAATCCAGACTGAACTGGAACACCTCTAGTGTGAGCCAGGACATCACAAGGGACCACACGTGGAAGGCACAGGCTCTAAAATCTGATATTCTGGTAACTCGAGAGCACCTAAGGGCTTTCACCTAAGGTGAAAGAATGCAATTTGGCTGCTCATGTTGGAGCCACCTAACTGAAGCTGTAGCTTGAACGTAGCTGAGGCACGTGGCTGCAGGGGGGCTTACTCAGCCTGTGGCACCTGTAAGAGGCTGGGCACCTGTTTATATGAAAGACCAGACCCCGCCCTCGTTTGGTTTCTTTCCCCTTGTGATTATTTCACAGTGACTTTTTTAAAGATAGGCAGAAGGAGGAGAAATCCCGAGCTTTCTGGACTTTGCAGCAGAGCTGAGGCATGCCTGCCTGCGTCCCGCAAGGCTGCTGACTGCTGAGCAGGCAGCAGCAAGCGTGAATATTGACCAAGCTTGGGTGTGTTTCTGTTGACAGCATGCGCTGCCTGTCCCTTCTGAACATGGCCCTGTTCCGTGGCAAAAAAGAGACTGCAGCAAAGTATTCCAGCATTCTGAACGACCACTTCAAGGTAGGGCACGCGTAACTGAGCTGCCAGATGCATGGCTGCGCTAGTTACTGATGGCAGCTGAGCAGCCCAAATCTAACAAGAGTTCTTTTCTTGCTGCAGAGATTTCCCACAAAAGCACCTTCTCCGTCTGTTGCAAGGTAAGATTTGAAAATACATGGGTTGTAATGTGCCCATAAGGGTGTGAGTGAAAACAGCAGCTGGAGTATTTGAGTTGCAAGCTGCATGTGAGAGTGCCTTTCCATTGGCTCTTTCTTGCCACCTGAAATCTATTGTTAGGGGCCATGAGTATGTTTCTGCTCTCTCTTTCCCACCTCTTCTTGTTGGGAAGGGGTTTTCTTTGTTACGAGGTCCAGAGTTACCGTGTATCAGGCGGAGCAGTTCTTTACCAAAGAAGTGGTCAGAGGAGCAAAGAAGGTATCATCACTAGGCTGTTTCAAAGCCCTTGTTGTCATCTTTGTTCTGTTAGAGATCCTTTGATACTTAGTGAGATACCCTTCCTGTCTTCCTGGCCACTGTCCGGTAGGGTCGTGCCTTCACCCTGTGTTAGCATAACTTTGAGGTGATACCTGAATATTTGTCTCTTTAGCTCAGTCACCAATTAAGAAACTCATTTTCTAATTTGTGAGTTCTAGAGCATGTTGTCCTTTCTAGGTATCTGCAGCAGTGTTGCTGTGTATGTGGCAGCGAAAGTTAAATGTTCATGATGGTGTTTCTTTCTCCTGCAGGAGCACAGGCGTGCCTTCTCCATCGTTTCCAATGCCGTCTCCTACCACTTCTCTGCGGGGAGCTGGCAACTGCAGTGATAACAGTATGTGCTCTTCAACCACCGTCTCCTCCGATATCCCAGACATCACCTATTCCTACGTCAACATCACTTCCTATGTTCTCTCTGCGCTTAATAATTGGGAGCGAGCTGATGCACTGATCCTGAAGAATCAGGGTAAGCTTTTGCCCTCTGGCTTTTCTGTCTTTTGTGTTGTGTTTGTACGTATGTGCATGCCTAAATTCTAACAGTGTAGCAAGCACCATACCTAAAGATCAAAGCATTACATACAGACAGCTATGGCATGTTGGCAGAGATGCCAGATGATGATATATTGATGAGTGTTGCCATTTAAAGGTTGGCTCGGCATCCTCAAATGTCTAAGAGCTAAGGGGTGAGCGTATCAAGTGCAGGGAACCAGCCAACTCGCATTTCCTGGTAACACAAGAGGCATAAGGAGTTTTTTGCTCTTTACTTTTCCCTTTGGGATGCTTAGGTTTGCTGAGTGGGTTCACTTTTACTAGAAACATTTTGGCCTGCAGCCCTGTGCTTTTGTTGGTCAATCTTCCAGGTAGTTTTGTCTTGAGAGCAGTGGGGCTGGCATCACCCTGTAACAGAGAGGCTGAGCTGCCCTTGAACTGGAGTTCTTCTGGGGCACATGATCAGTATTTGCCGGTAGCATCTCCTGACATTGCTGCTACTTTTTGTGTTTTACAGTTTTGTTGTTAAAAAGATTGTACTGTCCTGTGGTGCCGCGACAGGTACAAGCAGCGGTGAATGCTTAAAAGCCCTAGATTGGGTGCCTTCAGTGTGTAACCTGCTATTCCACGTGGCATTTGCAGCCATTGCAGTCATTTTCCATAAACCACAGCTTTCTGAGCTGCTGTGGGTGAAGGGGTGTAGTGTCACAATCTGTTGGCAAACTCAGAAAAACCCAAAAAGACCAATGTGCCTGGCTCAGTTGCTGGAAGGTTGTAAAAATTCGCTAACGAGGCAGTGGCTGGAATTCAGAGAATACTCCCGAAATGTTCCTTACACAGCTGAGCAGAAGTTTTCAGCCTCCAATCTTTGTGTGTAAAAAAGGAGAGCCGAAAGGTACTCTGCAACATGATTGAGACTGGAGGGACTAAGGGACTGGGAAAAGCCCATGTCACTGGAAGGCAGGTCCTACAGGAACGTCTCAGAAAGGTGACCGGAAAGGAACAGGTGGGCTGATTTCCCATAACTTGCTGTCACCTGCAGAGAAGATTGCCAGTACAGAGCAGGGTGTGCGGCCTGACGGCACCTCCCAGCAGCCTCAGATAGGCTACAAGAGCCGTCTCCTACCTGTGCAGGAGAAGGAGCATGGTGCCTGAAGTTGGTGGGAGGATAGGAACACTACCTTAACCCTGCCTCAAGTGCCCAGCTAAAAGCAACTCAAATTAGAGCTGTATAGCCTGTCAAGCCTTAGAAATGTTTAAACCTGTTCAGTTGAGAAATCGTGATGGCTCCAGGGTTTGAGGATGGATGAAAGGAAAGGGCTGTTCTGACAGCTGTGTGTGCTTCTGGGCATCCTTCAGAAAGACGGTCAAATCTGGCCGGTTCAACATCTGGAGGAGCATGTGGCAGGGACTGGGGTGTGAACACCCAGATTTCTGCCCCCTGCCGTGGAGTCTCAATGTCCTTTTACAGGCACTGGGGGAGGTGGTTCAGTGTGTATGCACACGCGAGTGCCTTTTCCTCTCGTATGCCCTGCCGTGCGTGCTTGTTAACACTTCCCAGCCTTCTAATACCGCTGAGCTGTCTGTATTAACCATGTGTTTAACGGGACTTCCCAAGTGACAGTGTGCTGCTGTTGTTCCTCCGTGCCTCTTGTGTGAAACCAACCAAATGTTTTCTCTCTTTTTTTTCCAGAGTTTTTTGGGGAACTCGGCACAGCATCGGAGGAGCTGTCACTGACCAGCAGCTTGATCAGACTAGTCCGCTATGTTAGACAGGGTTTACACTGGCTGAGACTGGAAAACAACATGCCTTAACTGGTGCTCAAGTTAGTTAAGTTGGTTGTTCTTCTTCTTCTTAAGTAGCTGGAACAACTTATTCTTCTTAGGTACCTCGACCAACTTCTTGGGTACCTCGACCAACTTCTTAGGTACCTAGGTACCTGCAACGATTTCTTAGGTACCTGCAACCACTTCTTAGGTGCATGCAACAACTTCTTTGGTACCTGCAACAACTTCTTTGGTACCTGCAACAACTTCTTTGGTACCTGCAACAACTTCTTTGGTACCTGCAACAACTTCTTTGGTACCTGCAACAACTTCTTAGATACCTGAAACCTCTTCTTAGGTGCCTGCAACCACTTCTTAGGTGCCAGCAACCACTTCTTAGGTGCCTGCAACCACTTCTTAGGTGCCAGCAACCACTTCTTAGGTGCCTGCAACCACTTCTTAGGTACCTCCCAGCACTTCTTAGGTGCCTCCAACCACTTCTTAGGTGCCTGCAACCACTTCTTAGGTACCTCCCAGCACTTCTTAGGTGCCTCCAACCACTTCTTAGGTGCCTGCAACCACTTCTTAGGTACATCCCAGCACTTCTTAGGTGCCTGCAACCACTTCTTAGGTGCCTGCAACCACTTCTTAGGTACATCCCAGCACTTCTTAGGTGCCTGCAACCACTTCTTAGGTACCTGAAACCTCTTCTTAGGTGCCTGAAACCACTTCTTAGGTACCTCCAACAACTTCTTAGGTACCTCCAACAACTTCTTAGGTACCTCCAACAACTTCTTAACTGCCAGGAACAACTTCTTAGGCACGTGGAACAACTTCTTAGGTACCTCAAAGAACTTCTTAGGTACCAGGAACAACTTCTTAGGTACCTCCAACAACTTCTTAGGTACCTTGGAGAACATCTTAGGTACCTGGAAGAACTTCTTAGGTACCTGGAAGAACTTTTTAGGTACTTGGAACAGCGTCGTAGGTACCTGGAAGAACGTCGTAGGTACGTGGAACAACTTTTTCTTCTGAAGTACCTGGAACTTCTTTTTCTTACTATCATTCTTATTTCTATTATTATTATTTCTTTATTTTTGTTTTCTGCCCTTGGGGTTTTGTTTGTTCTTTGCACTTTCAAAGTCTCAGCCTCTCTTTATTGAATTCTTAGATTGTTCAGGTGTTGAACTGTGGAACTGTCAGCTACAAAGCGCCTGCAGAGGAAGAGGAATCATCGTGGGATAGATCTGGGTATACTGGAAAAACATTGAACTGTTCTGGGGAGGAAAGCCACAGCGTTGATGGCACCTTCCTTTAAAACAACGAAGCGCAATGAAGTGTCTGAATGGCTCAATGTATTGATGGTCTACAAACATTTCTATGAATAACCAGCGGAACAGTAATTATACTTTGAGAAGTGCCTTCAAGAAGGACATCTTCCTCCTGAGGTTATTATGCAACATCCCAGTGTTTGCAACAGCTGTTTGAACAGAAGACATCTGAGAGAAGTGTTATTGCAAGCACAGGTGCAGTCTTTGTTGTCTTTACCTCTGCATTGGCAAGTAACACCCTCACCAGCGCCGGGCAGCGTTACGTTCTAATAAAAGCCGCAAAAATTACTGCCTTGCCTGGACAAATTTTGTGTTTGGGTATTTGCCTGTAACCGTTGCTGCTGTCAGTGACTATGTAAAAGCAGGGTTTGGTAGCAAAGTAGGACCTCCTTCGTGTGGGAGGTAACTCATGTGCTCTCTCTGAACCAAACTATAGGATGGGCCCAGCAACTTAGGAATTTGTCAAGGGGACACCCGAGGGAATAATGAGCTGTTTGCAAGCAATTTTTTCCTTGTTGGGGGCTGCGTTTTGAAAATGTGATTTTGCAGGTGACAGTAACTGTGAGGGCAGCATCTGCGGCACCTGTGTGTTCAGTAGGGGGACACCGTTCTCTACCCAAAGATTTCCTGTTGTGTGGCAGCAGCATCCTGCCCTCCTCATATCTCACAGTGTGCCTTAGCCCTCTGGTCCCTTCTGGCATCCCTTGCCCTGTCTCGGACAGACCTGTGGGAGTGGTGAAGAGAATGGTGTCCTAAAATAGCTGTACTTGCAGGAAAGGATGAGCTCCATTTTCCCCATGATTTCAGGATGGAGGAACAGGTCTGCGTGTGTGCAGCAGTATTGTGTAAATTACCTGCTAGTAGTCTGGATGGTCACGAAAGCGGAGAGCAAAAGGTGTTCGTTTCCAGAAGTAGTTCCTGTAGAAATGGCCTCTGCCACCGGGAAGCCTGGAGTCCCTTCGCCTACCCTGGCAGTGCGGGACCTCCTGTACCTTCAAGGGACTGTCCTTGTATGTTCACTTTATTGAAAGCCTTAGTGCCTTTCAGGGATAAGCTGTCCTAACCAGTGGAAGGAAGGTCCATGTCCCCCCCTCGCTCTTTTACCTATCAAACTTCACTTGCGCTCCTTCTCCCTGGGCTGCTCTGGGTGAGCCAGGGACAGAGAGGGGCTCAGCTTTAAGTGTTTTGTTCTCGGGAAGCATGGGGATGGCCAGCCAGCCTGAAGGCTTGACATGCACTTTGGAGCTCGATTCCATACTAGTGTGTCGATGCCGCCTTGTGGCTTTGTCTTCAAAGCAACTTAGCAATTTTTAGGCTCACCGGCTGAGGAAGAGGAAGGAAGCTTTATTGAATATGAAAACCACTGTGGGAGTCTGCAAGAGCCTTGGCAGAGTGTTAGTTATGGGTAAGCATAAGGTGAAGCAGGGACGCAGGTCCCCTCGGGACTCTAATTTTGCATACACCCCTCTCACTCCCTGCTGCCAGACCGTGTTCCCATTGGAGAGCCACTTGCCCACCCCTGCTGTAAGCTGTGGGTGCACCAGGTCCTGTCCTTGCCGGCCCTTTAGGCACTTTGCTGCCCAGATGGCAATCATCTGCTGCCCTGGAAAGCTCATGCAAGTGCATTATGTGAGCAGAGTTGGTAAGAAGACGCCTGGGCAAGGCAGATGTACTGGCATTTGCCTCTTTACAGCTGGGAAAGGGCACATGTGCTCTGCTACTGTGTGGCAGTGGTCATGCAAGGACTGCTCCCACTCCCAAAGCAAACTCCCCTGGAACTGGAGGAAATGGGATCCTGGGCAGTTCATGTCACAGGTGTGCAGGGCGGTATTTGGGGGCTTTCATTTCAAAAGCAATCTGAGGAAGCATTGGTACCAAGCTACATAGGAAGCTGTGCTTTGTTGCAGGTCATGGAGGAGACTGTTTCAATAATAGTTAATTTTTTTAAAGCCATCATGTTTCCACCTCGAGCCAGCTCAGAGGCCTGTGAAGGGTTAGGCAAGATGCTCATCATTTGCACTTGGGCCTGTATCAGGTCTTAACAAGTGCGAATGAAGGAATGACTAAAACCAAAACACGTAATAGTGGAGGAAATAACATTTGCCATTGAGGAACAAAATCATGAATCCAAGGGAAACGGGTGATGGTGAAGTCCCGTAAGGAAAGGAGGCAGCTGTGGTAGCAAAGCGAAACCATTTCCATGCCCTATTTATTTAGGAGAAATAATGCACGTGTTGAAACTGTCAAATGATCTATTTTTAAGATGCCATTTATTCAATAGTTGAAACCCCCCAGAGATCTCTTCTGTAAATTAAGGTCAAAGTCTGACTGCGATGTCCTTGGTCTTGTTTTGTCCTCTCCCTTCCCTCTTGGTTCCCTTTCTAAATCTATACGCCTGAAACTTATTTTGGGGACACAGGTTCGTCTTGTAAATGATGTTTTCTGCCCTGTGTGTGATGGAGTTTCTGAGATGGCCGATTCATTTATGTGGGGAAATAAACAATAAATGAAATAGCCCATTTGTTATGAGTTGTTGCAAGCGTCTTCGTGCTTCTTGTAGAGAAGTTGCGGGTTGCCTTTTCTCTCTGACTGGTCTTAGCGTTTCCCTTCTGAATGAGGTTTAAGTATGAATTTATGTACAAGAAGTCTCCGTTTCAATTGCTCCCCTGTTTGTCACCCCTTGCCCTTTCCTTTGGGAACAAGAATGTGTGCAAATCTAGGTGCTCAGAGTGGCAGGAGGGTCATGATTCAAGGCATCAGCCTCTTCTCCTCCTGAAATGGATTCAGAGAAGACTGTGCCAGAGTCCGCCGCCGGCAGCCACCAGAGCCTGGCTCTGAGCACTCGCTGACAGGGAAATCCCGTTGCCTCAGGGAATCCCACAGGGTTCCATGCCCCGTGGTAGCTCTGCTTCTCGTGGGTTGTGTGAGGTGAGCTCTTTGCAACGGCCTTAACAGTTCTTGTTTGGGGCTTTTCCCATTATTTGGTTTTATGTTGGGCAGTGTGACTGTGCCTTGGAAGAATGATTTCTGCATGTCTCTATGCACTATTGTGATACAGTTCGTGCATTATTCAGGTCCTTTCTGCATCAGACACTGCGCCAAAGGCGTCTGCTAAGCATGGATGTGGTTTTCTAACGTAGTCTGTAAACTGTAGAGGATTCTGAAGCCTGTTGTAATACCCACCAGACACTTTCCTGTTACAGACGTAGAGAAAAGGTACACTTTTGGGGGGGGCTCAGTTCGCTTTTTTTGCTGCACACGTAAAGCCCCAGTGGCAAAACTGGTACTGAAGAAAGAGTAAAGGAAAGAAGTATCTCATTAGTAAAATAACCCAGATGTGAAACATCCCCATGTGAGCATCTGGTGGGAATTTTAGTTACAGGCTTAGACAGGAGGAGCTTGGTGGTGCCTTTGCTCAGGCAAGGTGGGACTGGGACTCAGTTCACTGCCATCAACCAGTGTTTCAAGTGGTGTGACAGCAGGTCTCCCCCAGGCCGGCTGCAAGATGCATGGAAGGTAAGAAGAGGAGCATGGGAAGGCAGCTCGTGGTTGTGGCCATACATGTGTGGATCTTGCTGTGGTTCTGGTGGGGAGCGAGGGTGAGTTGAACACAAGCTGCCCTCTCTGCTGGCCAGGGTGCAGCTGCACCTGTGTCACTCGCATCCTCTGTTCCATCATTTCCCTACCCCTCGCACCCCAAAAGGTTTGTTTCCTACA